AGTTGTTGTCATTCAGGCACCAGCGAACTGCAGTTTCAACCCCGCATCAACTGGTCTTATCAACACGCCCAGCGGGAGTCGAACTATGTGTTGCTAAGGCCGATGCAGTCCACTGGTGCCTGAATAAGAACAAATTTTGGGAAAACAAGACAATGGGAACGTCAGCTTTACTCAAATACTAAACATAATTATCTCTCATACTGGTCCTGTTACTTTTGCTCGAGTGCATAAAAGCCAATCGGCTGCAGTACAACCTGATTCATCCGTCCTCTTTTTCTGGCGAGATCGACCAACGAATCTCTTTTTCATTCACTTTCATACGAAATGAAATTCGCTCTAACACTCAAACTTGGCCGCTTTTTTTGCATCCTTCAATCGGACTTTGGGGCTCGGAACCTCACCATCGGGTAGAAGATAGTCACTTCTGAGGGAGTTCTGTCTGGTTCTGTCTCCATTTGGCTGCCCGTCTCGGCATGTGCTTTCTTTGCAGACTGTTTCGGATCGTCTGACCAACTCATGTCGGACCGGCCTGTCGCAGAGGTCGTTTTGGACGCCGCGATTTGGTGCAAAGGACGTTGCGTCATCTCAACCCTCGCCAGAGGCTGCTGTGACTGTCAGTTCCCTTTTGCTTCGCAGATTGCTTTCATCCCAGCCTCCCAGCGGTCCATAAAATGAAGATGGCACAACTGAAGCTGGTCGATTGGGTGGAGTAATGCCTGGATCAGTGAGTTTACGGGAGAGCATGAGTGAGAAAGCTTGAATAACAGACTTGGATCAACACAGGTTGATTCAAGGACTGTGAGTTCGAGAGTTTCCACAACCAAGAGCCCAGGAAGCAATTGCGAATTTCCTAAAGCTTTCTCATCATGACTGAACTGAAATACAGAATTGGGTTGACCTCTTTGTCGCAACTTGGTCTTGCTTTTAGAAAGAACATGTAGAACGCACCTAGTCCGAAGTCGTCTGCCATAGTAGTTGTCATGACTCCCAGCCTATGATAGTGGACTTGGTACATTCTCAAACGTTTCGCCGGCCTCGTAGTCGGCATCATCATCATCAAGCTACGAACTCGTCAAAGAGACAAGTGAAGCCAATCCCTCGATATCCGTTCTG